TCGCGTGCCCGTCATCGACTCCTTTTCTCGCACGTGTCCACGACTCATGTCGCTCCTCTCGTGCTTGTGTGCCTCGCATACGGGCTCGTACCCGTCTCTTAGACCATGCATACGTGGTTTTGGCCCTTTCTTCGGCCTTCTCGGGTCGTTCCGGCCGTTGGTCCTCAACGTGCTCGGACCTCGAAACCCACATCTTCATCATTCCTTCCCTCTTCGATTGAGTCCTTGTCCTCAAGGACTCGTCATCGTCCATCAACCAAGTCACCAATTCCTCTTCGACCACCGGAACCTCGAGCGTATCCTCCCCGTGGCCCTCGTCGACCACCACCATCTCCTCCTCAACCTCGCCTTCTTCGACCTCGACCTCGACAAAGTATTCATCGGGGTATACATCGAGAACATGCGGTCCATCCAAACCCGTCGAGACTTGCTCGTTCGTGCGATTGGCCTCGTGCTCGACTTGCTCGACCATGGACTCGACCTTGCACTCAATTTGCTCGATCACGATCGTGGCTGTCATTTCTTCAAAGTAGCCAGGAAAATCAAACGAGAACGTGACTTCCTCGTCGAAGAATCCTGAAAATTCAAACGAGAACGTTGGTTCCTCGTCGAAAAATCCCGAAAATTCGAACGGAAATTTTGGCTCCTCGCACCATTCTTTGATCCGGTGTATGTCCGGCACCGCATAACTGGGCCCGCCGCTACATGTGTGTTGCCTGCTGCGTTTGGTGCGGCTCTTGGTTGTTTTACGGGACGTGCGTCTACTTAGTTCTCGAACGCTCTTCACCAACTGTTCCAAGGCTTGGTTTCTTTCTTTCTTCCATGTCTCTAATTGCTCCTTCCACTCCGAATTGCTCGTCAGCATATTTTTATTTTTTTTTAACTCACGCACACAACATAAATCAAGGGAAAATAATAATTTTTTTTTTAATCACAAAAGAAAAAGAAAAATTCGAAAGAAAGAAAAATTTGAAAGAGGAAGGAAAAGTTTAACTTGATACACGATCTAACACTCTCAATGAAAGCACCAATGATGAGAGATCGTGTATCCGCTCAACTCGATTTGCTCGAAACCCGCGCCGACGCCTTGGTTCATTCGCGATAGGTTGCTAATACGCGCGTCGACGCCTTCGTACTTCGCGATAGGTGTGAAGAAAATCGGATGCTGGTCCTATTTCTAGCACGATTTTGTATGTAAATCACACACGAGATTTGGTGATCGAAACGATCGATTTTTCTTATTACTTGGATGATAAAAATTGAATGACAATATGTAGTATTTATAGGGACTAAGTAGATCTAATCCTATACTAATTAGAATACTAAAACATGAAAGAGAATAAAGTCCTAAGGAAACTAAATATCTAATATCCTAATCTAAACTAAAGTCCTAACATGCTAAGGAAAGCTATTAAAATATTTGGGAAAGTATCAAGAATAATCTAGAGAAGATTCAGCTCAAAAAGATCTCTAGAAGCCTTAGTTCCTTGCTCGGCAAGTCACCCGCGCGAGCTGTCCCTGGCAGCCCTGCGCCTGCGCCGCGCGTGATGAAGGATCATGTGTTACGTCTAGCTCGACTCGCTCAAAACCCGCACCGACGCCTTGGTCCCTTTGCGATAGGTTGCTAATACGCGCGCCGATGCCTTCGTACTTCATGATACGTGTGACGAAACTCGGATGTTGGTCCTATTTCAATCACTGTGAAGAAACACGGATGTTGATCCTATTCCATTCACGAACTCTATGTAAACTCACACGAGAACACACACCAGAACTTTGAAAACAATGTTCGACTCTTTTCTATTCACTCATCAACTTATTCGAAATTATGAGAGTACATGGGTATTTATAGATGCCAACATAATTCTAATCCTAGTCTAGATAGTACTCCTAATGCAAGTAAATAAATAAATCCTAAGGCAACTAAATATCTAGGGAATATGGACTTTCCTAACATTCAAAATACTAATAGGAAACTAATAGGCACAATGCCTTTTATTTGGATTCCTAACCATACTAAGACTCCTAACAAAGCTAAGTAAATCTCGTCCCAAATCCCCTTTGCTTGCCCGTCAAGTCGTCGCGCGCCAAACCCTAGCCGTCTGCACATTCGCACCGCCCGCTAGTCCTGGTCGCGTAAGGCATAGCTCGCGTCCCTGCCACACGCGCGCGCTCTTCCCGCGTCGCGTATTCGCGTGTTCGCCCCTCGCGTGAGTGTCGCGCACGCCTGATCGCTCGGCGCCCCTCTCTCCCTCGCTCCTCGCGCCTCGCGCGTTCTCGCCACTTGCGCGGTTCTCGCGCACGCTCGTCTCGCCAACCTCATCGTCCCACTCGACCAGCGCCTTGCGCGTGTCTCCCGTCACCGCGCCCATCTCGCACCCGCTCCTCTGGCCCATCGCGACACCCCAGTCTTCTCGCGTGTCCGTGCCATCGCACCCGTCCCAAGTGCACGCTGTCCACCCTACATCCTCCCCTCGTGCACCATTGGCCTTGGCCCGCATTCGTCGTGCACGTCTATCCTTCGCGCACGCCTTGCACCAGCCGCCCATCTTCCCGGGCACTACCTTCTCACTCTCGTCGTTGGCCCAAGCCTCATGCTCGTGCGCACTACTCGTCGCGCACCTCTTCTTCACTCGGCCCAGACTCGCACGCCTCGCGGCTCGGTCACCGCGACCCGTCGGTATGCACGCCCTAGTGCGTGCGCACACCCTCCTAGCACGTCCTCAAGCCCTTTCCCGCCTAGCCTCTCGTCATCTCTCGAGGCCATCATGGACATCGTCCTCGGGCTCGCCAGGGTCAATGACCACATCCGCATCATTCCCGCCTTCTTCGAGAATTTTCTTGTCCTCAAGGATAATGAAATTGATCTCGTCGACTTCATCGGGCTCTTCTCCTGGATCCTCAGTTTGCAACTTGACTCGCTTTCGGCCCCGTCCAAACGTCATATTGCCTCTCTTGTAGTTGGTCGTGACAGATCCCAATGTCTCCAACCATTGAATTCCAAGTACTATATCCGGTCCCGTTAAAGGTAAGGCATAAAGATCAGCCTTTAAGTCATAACCTTGTGCACATATGGGAACTCCTTTGTATAGCTCAGAACTTCTGAGTTCGTCTCCATTTGCAACCTTCACCCCGAACTGCTTCACGTTCGTCACTGGCGTTTTTAATCCTTTGGACAACTCCTTGTCTATCAAGTTTAGCGTAGATCCGCTGTCCAGTAGCACCTCAAGCTTTTCGCCCTGTACGATTGCCGTGAACCATATCATCCTCGGACCTCTCTCTCTCTTCTTGCTCTTCATCACATGTAGCAAGGCCTCCTTTTGCTCCACGTGTTCAAACTCCTCACGTTCCGGATCATCTTCATCAAACGCAAGCAAGAACACTTGCTTACCTGCACACCTATGGCCCGGTGTGAACTTCTCGTTGCAAGTAAAGCAATAGCCTTTCTCATGTCTTCGTTGGAACTCCTCGGTTGTAAGCCTTCGCATGTGGCTCGTGGTTCTCGTGCCATCCTCGGTCGGTTTGGTCTCGGCCCGCGGGGGCGTCTCGTCGGTCGCAGCGCTCGGGCGCCGTGCGTCCGTACGTCCCTCGCCTTTATTGGCCTTGCGAACTGCAGCGATATGATCCTCGTGCAGTCGCGCAGACTCCATGGCTGCTCGTGTGGACCTTGGTCTATCCAACCTCACATCAGCCGCTAGCTCGGCTTTTAGTCCTCCAATGAATGCTCCTACCAATGCGCTCTCGGGCCAATCTCATACCTGACTTGCAATACGCTCAAACTCCTTTTGGTAGTCTCGGAGGCTACCGTTTTGACGAATTCGGAAGAGCGCCTCGTCATAATCATAGTAGTCACTCGTGCCAAAACGTGTGACCAGCTCCTTCTCGAAATCTCTCCACCGAATGTCTTCGCCGTTGGTCTTGTACACATGTGACACCCATTGCCACCACATGTTTTCTTCACCATCGAGATAATAAGCGGCGATCTTGACTCTCTCGGACTTGTGCACGTTATTGATCTCAAAAAATTGCATGGCTCGATTTAACCACGCGTCCGGGTCAGTCCCCGTGAACGTAGGCATCGTGATCTACGGTCGTGCATGGCCTCGGTCGTCATGGTGGTACGTTGCGCGTGATGCGCGGGTCCTCCATGATCGTCCATCATCGTCTTCGTGGTCGGTCCTAGGGCTGTTCGATGCCGCGGCCGATCGCGAGGTGTGGCTCCTTCGTGATCGGCGTGTCATGCGCGTGAGTTGCCCGGCAAGATCATGCACCATGAGCTCGAGTTTAGCAAAATTCTCATTGACAAGGTGTTGGCCATTGCCGATGGACTTCAAACTCTCCTCCAAGGCTTCGATCCTTTCCTTATGTGTCATCATGAATCAACTCTCTCTTTTTTTTTTTTTTTGATACTCTCGAAACAAGAAAAATTCGAAAGAAAGAAAAATAGAATGGGGAAGAAAAAGTTCAACCCAACACACGATCAATCAATCTCAATGAAAGCACCAATGATGAAGGATCGTGTGTTACGTCCAGCTCGACTCGCTCAAAACCCGCGCCGACGCCTTGGTCCCTTTGCGATAGGTTGCTAATACGCGCGCCGATGCCTTCGTACTTCACGATATGTCCGGGTCAGTCCCCTTTGTGTGCGGCAGGGACGCGATGCCTTCGAAAGTGATTTCTCCATCCTGCAGCATGCCCCAATGCACTGGTGCTATTTTTCAAGTCAGCTTGGCTTTAGAACAGAAAAACATGGCATGTTCCATTGTCTCTTCCTCTTCCCCACATGTATCACATAATTTCTCCACCTTCATTCCTCTCTTGTTCAAATTACAATTGACTTGTAAGATATTAGAAAAACATCTCCATATAAAGTGCCTAACCTTACTAGTCACATTTAATTTCCAACATCTTATTCTTGTTCTATTGTTCCCAACAGCCAGTTTGCTTGGTTCATATACAAAAACTTTGCAGAATTTCTCAGATATCAGCCTGGCATAAGCTTATTTGACAGAAAACAGACCCTTGTCAACAAAAGTGCACCTTCTCAGATCATCAGCTTTGGGATTTAAGGTTTTGATGGCCAGAATTTTCTCAGCCACCTCAGATTGGAACAGGATTCTGACCAGCACTTCATCTTAATCACTGCCACTAGCCAACAACAGATCTTTAACTATGAACTGTCCCCCATCAACCCTTAGTTCAGGAATCTAATTGAAGTCATTGAGTTTGGTGGTAGCCCCATTTTTTATCATAATCCTCACATGAGATTTCAAGTAAGGGAGAAAAGAAAAGCAAGAACTCCATAGCCAAGATACCCCTGCCCTCTGTTTATAGTAAAAAACAGAACAGTGAGAAAAGCACCTACTCTTCAACACTTTACTAATCAACAGTTGAAGTTGCTCAATGATCCTCCAAAGTTGTTTAAGGATTAAGGTACAGTTGAAAAGCTTGATGTCCTGAAAACCAATCCCACCATTCTGTTTAGACCATATCATTTTCTCCCAAGCAACCCAATAAATCCCTTTGTTGTTCCCTTACCCATTCTTCCACCAAAATTTAGCTATTAATCTACAGACTTCATTCCAGATGCCAACTGGCAGGACAAAGCATGACATTACAAACACCGGGAGTGAATTTAGAACTGCCTTCACCAACACCTCTTTCCCCAGCAATACTTAAAAACTGATTTTTCCAGCTGCAAATTCTTGTTCTGACAGCATCCACCGCAAAATGATTTTTATTTACATACTAGATATATATACATACTAGATTACAATTTTTATTTATTTATTTATTTATTTATTTTTTGCTCAACCAAAATGCAATTTATGCTTGGTTTATAACTGGTATTATGAATATAACATATAAGTATATACATACAATTTACGTCTCCGCAATATTAAACCTAAAGTTGACCAAAAGCTTGTGCAAAAGAAGCTTCAATTAGATAATTATAAGAAAAATAGGTTAAAGCTTAATTACGAGAATCATAATCTTAATCTTGTGCATGACATGCACTAGAATAATTTGAGTTTTTGTTGTTTTTAGCGTCAATATATTTTCAGGATATGTTGCATTTTTATTTATAAACTTTTTCTAACCGCAATTGTGATATTTTGATTTTGTTTATATTTTTTGTTTATATTTCCTACTTAATTTTATACCGACGAGAGAGATTGATGTTTGGTCTAATCTCCTTATCCAACATCAATGCCATCAAGTGTGTAGATTCACTAGGTCGATCTCTCGTACGAGGTCGGCACTTGCGATATCCTTACAAATTCTTAGAAAGATTGGTTACAGATTTAGAGAGAGAAAGTAGAGAGAGAGTTTGTTAGTTGGGGATTCAACAACCCAGAAATAAATTATGTGGGTTGCTATTTATAGTGCCCTTAAATGTGGCACTGTTCAGGTACTGTTCACTGGTCTTGTCATACAGTGTTCTTGTAGAGCAGTCCGGCGTCTCCTTCACAGATATTCAATGCGATTTGAGGTTTCCCTAATCATTGCCTGCCAGGCATTAAATGCACACATGGGGGTCATTTAATGCTGGCAGGCTTTATGTCTTGGCTAGGGAATTTAGACTTGCAGGCTACGATGCCCTGTCCAATCACTAATGATTACTTTTCAAGTGGCATTATTATATTACTATCGGACCCTGCGCCGGTTTCTGGGGCCACCACTCTGAGGCTTCAGGTCGGCTCCCGAGCTTATTCTACTCTTCTGGCCCTCTGGAACCTTACTTCAGCCCGTCACCTATTTTAGGTCGGCACCGGCGGTTGAGCGACACAAACGCCGGGCTCGTGGATGGACTCACGTGGATGTCAGGGCAATTAATTCTGGAGTTTAGCTCGGCACTCGCACTCGACCGGGGCTTCAGTTCGGCTTTAGGAGTCGGTTCGGCTTTTGAGGGTTGCCTTTTGTCTGGTTTCCTTTTGGAGTGAACTCTGATGTCAACAGCAACTTATATGCGAAACATTTTCGCATAGTCATAAATTTGCAAGGTCGATATAGCCCTGCGAAAAGAAGGCGCATAATCATCGTAAATTATGCTGCATTCGATTTAGATATGCGATTCTTAAAAATGCGAACGGTGTTCGCACATTTGTAAATTATGCGCTTGATTTGGATATGCGCTCCCTAAATATGCGATATGCTTACGCATAGTCATAAATTATGCGTCTGGTTGGATATGTGCTGGTTCATTTGGACATGCGAGTGTAATATCGCATAGCATTTCGTGACTTTTGGGTTGTAAAAGAAGTTATTTGACGGGGTTGTGTGTAAAAGAAAGAATAGATATATAATGGGGTGAAAAAGATTTTAACCCTTAATTTTAATTCACTATTTATCCACTCACATAATTTTAACTATATATCACTTCCAAGAATCACTCTCTCTTTTTTTTTTCTTTTTTTTTAACAAAGAAACACCCCGAAGGATGGGGATTGAGGTTCCCCAACCTGTGTATATCAAAACCTTAAAAAGGCCAAAAATCACTCTCTTAATTTTACATCACTCCAACATTAATGATTACATTTTAAATATTATTTAATTTCAAAATCAAAACCATTTACTCAATCTATTTTCAAAAACCGATCAAAACCGGTTACATTCATATCTAATTGCGCCCTTAGAGAAATAGAAATCAAAGATTATATTTATTTGTGGGAAAATTCCACTTTGCCTACCGAACTATCTGCGTTTTTACACTTTGCCCACTCAACTTTTTCCGGTGACACTTTACCCCTTGAACTTCAAATATTCTTACACTTAACGACTTCCGGCCACGGGAGATGCAAAATCAAGGGCAAAGTGTAAAAACGCGAATAGTTCGGTAGGCAAAGTGTACTCGTGAAAGACTAATCTGAGGTGTCCCAAGGTGTAAATAACAATTTTTCCCTTGATTTTGCATCTCCGCCGGCCGGAAGTCGTTAAGTGCAAAAATATTTGAAGTTCAAGGGGTAAAGTGTCACCGGAAAAAGTTGAGTGGGCAAAGTATAAAAACGCGGATAATTCGGTAGGCAAAGTATAATTTTCCCTTTATTTGTCATCGAACTTTAGTGATCTTTACGGCACAATAAAGTCTAACTAGAAATTACTTGCATCTCAACATATACAAATAACTTTTTTTAGTGAAAATGGTGGTATAAAAGATATAATAACATGTTTTTTGATGAATTTATGAATCAATCATACTATGTTTCTAAACTTTACAAAAAGTCCATTAGATGAAAATTCCTCAAAACGATTATTGGACTACAACTTTAATTTATGTGTTAGTTGATTTCTCACAATTTTTAACTCTAGATAAAGAATTTACTAAGTGCTATATTTCATTAACCACATGTTTCTCAACAAACTAATTTTCTTCATCTTATACCAAAATGTTGGTTTGGCCGAAATTGCTAAAATTTTGGTGGATTGTGGCCTGTAGGACAACTGGTAGAACTTTTCAAAATTTTTCATGAAAGACAGTAACTTTTCCACCAAATTTTTCATCATTTTTAATTATATTTTTAATAAAAAAAATTAGATTGTCCTTCGTTTTTCCTTTTGTGCATCAACTCATATTATTAATTATGCATTACGTAAAGACTAAACATATTTATTTATGTTGTCATACAACACTTAATTCATTTATATTAATTGGTATTTTTAAAAGTAATTGCATCGTCCTTCAATTTGGTATCATTGTAGCAGCAAATGTAGATGATGCAATTGCAAGTATTATACAAAAGTTGTTTAATACTCCCTCCGTTTCTTATTAAATGTCGTTTTAATTTAAAACTTCTAAATTACGATTTTAATGGGTTGTGTAATAATCTTATTTTTTAATCTTATTAAATTTAGTTTTTGAATTATTAATGGGTGGTTTTTAAAGATAATGATAAGAGATAAAGTTTGTTAAAGAGAATAAAGATGTAAGAATGAATATAATATTTCCAACGACAATTAATTTGCAAAAAAGTTGACACCCTACAACGACATTTAAAACGAAACAGAGGGAGTATAAAGCAACGACAATTTGTCCTTCCATTTTGTATATGAGTTATTTTCTAATTCCACTTGGCCGATCAAGTTTATCGGTATATTTAGTAGATCGTATAAACTAATATTTTTCTACATACATTGTATGTTTTGAAGTGTCAGCGGTATGTACTTATTTCTTTTAGCCAGTTATTCCTCTTCAAAGTTTTCATACATTTCATAAAAGTATGTATTTTAGGGTATTTCACATCCATTGGTGCATAATACACTAATGACATGATTGGTACGTTAGATTGAAATGTGAATGAAATGATCAATCTTTTACTCATTCATAATCTTGTGATTAGTATACTTTTTCTTAAGCGAATGCCCATTCCAATATAAATTGCATAACTCGTCTCCATGGGATTAGCCAATACATAGCTAATGAATGATTTTTCCATTTTCATATCTTTAGGATTTGGGTTTTCAATAAATAAAACTAAAAAATAACAATAAATAATAAAAAATAAATATATATTATAAATTATAATTAAATATATTTTAAATTGGTTATTTTAAAAAATAAATTTCACATAAATAACAAAAAATAATTTTATTTTTCTTTGTTATTCATAGTTTATGATGATATATATTAAATACTTATATAAAAATAATGTTTAAAAATAATTTATGTATGAATAGTTTATAAATATCTTAATTTATTTTTATATAAATATATATATATATATATTATGTTTATTTATAAATTAAATTAAGTTACTAATAATTATACACAACTACATATGCAGTAGGAGTTAACATATGATATATTTATATTAGCTAATATATATAGATAGATAATTCGCTTATTTATTATATAAGTGAATTCCTTTAATAACCACCTCATTGTTCGACACTTGATACCCGACTTCGACTGCAAACTCCAAGCTATCTCCTTTGGGAGAAATCAATACAATGCCCAAACCACCCCTGGCCTTTGACACCAAGCCATACACAAACCTCTGCCAAACTCCTTCTAACTCTTCCTCGGATTTGGTATCTTCCTGGATGAAATCGGCCAGGGCCAGCGCTTTGATTGCCCTTCTGGGCTCAAACGCTATCGTGTATGCACTCAACTCGACCGCCCATTTCACCAGTCGACCCGATACAGAGGGTCGACGTAACGTTTCTCCCAATGGTATATTCGTTCGCACCTTCACCTTGTGGCTCAAAAAATAAGGCCGTAGCTTCCTCACTGTAACGACCACCGCCAAGGCACACTTCTCGATCCTTGAATACCTCCTCTCCGCATCTTGCATCACCCTACTCACGTAATAGATCGAAAATTGGACCACTCCCTCTTCTCGCAATGGCACCGAACTCACCGCCGTTTCCCCAATAGATATGTATAACACCAAGTCTTCTCTATGTATTGCTTGGCCAACACCTTCTGTAGCTCCTCGAATGACTTCTGCGCCTCCTCCGTCCATTGGAATTTCGAGATCTTCTTCAATGTTCAGAACAAGGGGCAACTCTTCTCTGCCACCTTCGAAATAAAACGACTCAAACCTGCTATTCGACCAGTCAGGATCTGCATCTCCTTCACCTTTGGAGGTGGTTTCATCTCGATCACCGCACGCACCTTTTCCGGGTTTACTTCAATTCCTCTCTTTGTCACCATGTATCCCAGAAATTTCCCCGACTTCACCCCAAAGGAACAATTAGAAGGATTCAACTTCATACCAAATCTCCGCAATGTCAAGAACGTTTCCCTCAAGTCGTTCACATGATCGAGCTCCTCCTTGCTTTTCACCAACATATCATCAACATATACCTCCATATTCCTCCCGAGCTGCTCCTTGAAAATCTTATCGACCAACCTTTGATAGGTTGCTCCCGCATTTTTCAAACCAAACGGCATCACCACATATCATTAGGTTCCCCTGCTCGCCACGAAACTCACCCTCTTCCTATCCTCCCGAGCCAAAGGGATCTAATGATATCCTTGGGACGCATCTATCAAACTGAGCAGCTCACATCCTGCGGTGGAATCGACCAGCTGGTCGATCCTTGGCAATGGGTACAAATCCTTTGGGCATGCCTTGTTTAAGTCACGAAAATCGATGCACATCCTCCATTTACCCTCCGACTTCGACACCATCTCCGTGTTGGATAAATATTCAAGGAACTGAATCTCCTTAATATGACCCGTCTTCAATAATTTCTCAACCTCCTGCTCGATCACCTTATCCATCTCCATCCCATGATGCCTTCTCTTTTGCTTCACTGGCCTCATGGAAAGGTCGATGTTCAGCCTATGCTCGATCACCTCCGCCTTAATCTCTGTCAACTCCTCCACAGTATAAGCAAAGACATCCGCGGACTCCCGTATCAACCCTATCAACTTCGACCTCGTCGGTGCTTCCAATTCCTTCCCTATTTTAAACCTCCTTTCTTCACATCCCACCATCATTTGAATTTCCTCAATCTCACCCTCTGGTTGCATCTCTGCCTTCTCCTTCCCTTTATCGGACTTCACCTTTTCCTCCATCGACCTCGAACCCCCAGGTCGACTTGGTCTCTCCTCCCCCAACTTCACTTTCCTCTTCTCCAGTTGTTTATTGTTACTCACCGTGGTCTGATAACAGCTCCTCTAGGTGACCTGATCTTCCACGACCTCCACAATGTTTTCACCCACCGGATATTTGATCGCCATGTGGTACGTCGACACAACCGCCTGGAACGCATTCAGACTGGTTCTCCCCATAATGATGTTGTACGATGACTCCGCTCCTACGACCACAAGCCTCACCATCCTCACCTTCCTCGTCACTCCTTTCCCCATAGCAACGGATAAGCTCACCTCTCTCATTGGCATCACCTCTACTCTATTGAATCCATACAAAGCTGTGGCCACCGATTTCAGCTCGATATTCAGCTCCTTGTTGATCTGCACAAAATAGTCATAAAACATTACATCGATCGAACTCCCTGTGTCGATGAACATCCTTTTTACATCAAAACCTGCCACCTCCGCCGTATTCAGTAGCACATCATTGTGGGGCAACACCACTCCCTCAGCGTCTTAGTAACGCCACACTTTTATTTGCCGAAAATCAGAATAAATTTATCAGATTTATTTCAATTAACACTTGAAGCGTTACTCATTTTCAAACGATGTATCAATACTTAACCAAATTTTCAATACTCAATCTTTCACCAATACTTAAACAATCATCAATACTCAATTATCAATATTAGAATTCGCAATCCACTAATCAAATCATCCTAGGGAGTACACTCCCTATCAATAATCCAGTAATCAATAATAAAGAAAGCAGTAATAGCAATATTCAGTTCTAGGTGGAAGCAATATCAATTATTATGACCACCACTCGCATCCCTCCCATCGTGCCCGCAACACTAACCTGCATCCATGAAGAGCAGGCGGGGGTGAGCACAATAGGAAAATCGAGGTGCTCACCGCTATGCAATAATTAATATTCAATAATCAATAAACAATTTAGGTATGGTCGCAGCATGTATACGAATCAATAATCGTCCCATCTCCTATCAATAATCAATCATGAGTCTCATGTGCACACCTATAGCAATAGACTACTGCCGAACTATATACCGAACGCCTTATCTAAGGTCTTACAACTAGTGTCCGGCCAGCAGGAGCAATAATCCACCCCGAACGCCAAAACTTGCGCCTTGGCCTTACATACGAGGATCACCAGCCAAGGCTCACGCCTTGACTGCCAACAATAATAAAGGAGACTACCCGAAGGTACGTTCTATAGCTACGGGGATAACCGTACGACGGCCGGTACAGCTCACATCGAAGGCTACATGTTCACATGCATACATTGATCATACCACAACAATAACAATTAATTAAGGCATAGCAATTTCAAATAAAACCCACCTGGTGTTCGGAAATATCAAATGCAAATGCTCACGATAGGCTCGAGGGCTCGACTCCTCGGAAACCAATAATATTAGGAATTATTATTATTATTATTGGTTTTTATTTGGTTGGTTAGGCCACACAAGCAAGGCAAACATATCAAATTAAGCACATAAAACAAGCAATGAATTAGATAATTTCTACTAACTTTCTGAAATAAATTCCTTTTAACCACGGATTAATATGGCCACGGGCACGCAAACCTCAACCAAAACAAAGTCACCATTAAAAGTCTTCTCCTCTTCTTAGACTTTTAATTAACTTCTTAAGCATGCTTATCATATAAAATAAGCTCAGCAACTGAGCAAGATCACACGGCCAAATAGCAACATATATTCATACATACATGCTTTCATTTCCAACTTCTATCAACACCTGAGCATGCCCTTTTTAAACCACTCAAGACTGGGAGTTATAAGCCACAAACTCAGCATAACAACAATATACTCAGGCATAAAATTGTACTTGATAACATTCCCCATAACTCTCAAATAAACAAAGTATAAATGGCACCAAAACATGTTTCTTTTGGCTCAACCAGCATGCACAAAATAAACCAGTAACAACAACTCAACTCTTATGCATCTATTTTGCTCTACAAAACTCTAACCAAAATTAGTACGACAAGAAGGCTTTTAAGCTGAACGAACAACCTCTTCTAACACCTAAAAATCCGCATATACTCAGCTCATAGCATATGATTGAGACAACAGCCTCCAAACATAAATAAACAGGGTAAAGTATCATATAGTCCAAAACATGCTAGCTCATGAATAAAAGTAACAAATAACAACATAAACATCACAATAAGGCTCATCATAAACAACATAGAACCAGGCCAAAACAAGAAATTCATTAAGTCCTCAGCATATAACCAACAGCAACAATGCCTCAGCAAAGTTCAAACACGCAAGGCAACAAAATCACTCAACATAGGCATAATGTTTACACCGAAAATAAAGAACAAATAAACCACAACATCTTAGCCATATAGAGGGTAAAAAGGGGTCAGCCATAATACCTATTGAAAAGAGGGCTCGATTCGCTCGACGGACATCCCCTGGAGCCGGTCGACAAGCCCCGGGCTGCTTCCCGGTAACCGGACGTGGGAAAACAGGCTGTTCAGGGCTCTCGGCAAAGGATCGACCCGCTTCTCTTCTCGCCCGGGACCCAAAAGGGCTGCTGCTGCTCAGAATTGAAACCGACGGTTGCTGGATAAGAGCCTCGAGCGGCTGCTGCTCGTTGCCGGAAAAAGCTCGGGTCTACACGTCTATGACGAACGGCTGGGTGCACTCGTTCGCCGGCAGGGCTGCTCGAATCGTCGCTAAGGGTCAGCCTTCGACAGTCGCACTTGGTCTCTTCAGCCATCGGGGACTGAAGCTCTTCGCCGGCGTTTTCCCGCTTTCGATTGCACGATCTCTGACGCCTGGAACTCGCCGGACTGGTGCTGCTCTCGCCGGGAATCCCGTCGTTGAGGCTTGGTGCTCTTGCCGTCGGATGGCCGGAGGTCAGAGTTTGAAGGGATCGAGGCTCAGTCGGGCTAGAGGTCGGAGGTTAGATCACGGCTCGACGTCGGGAATAGACCCGCCGCTGCTGCTCGTTCTCGGTTCACCTACCTCGCGTCGTCGGGAATCTCGTCGTTGGGCCGATTCGGCTGCTCTCGCCGGGAAATTGGACTTAGGTCGTGGAGGAGCTCGGGAATCGCGGCTCTAGATAGAAGCTAGTTGTCCGTCTAGAGATCGAAGGTCGGAGCTCAAAGGTCTCGGAGGTCGTCGGCGCGCATGGACTCCTCGTAGCCAGAATTGGCTGGCTCTCGAATTCGCTGGGCGATTTGTGAAATTCGGAAGGGAATTCAAGGGGCTCAAAAATGGGAGATGCGGCTGATGCTCTCAATCCCTTAAATAGGGAATATTAGGGCAAATCCGATCAGAAACAGTGTGGCCGGAATTTGGGGAAAGGCCGAGGATTATGGACGCCGTTGCACGAGAGCTGCGACCGGCTCTTAGGAGGAGAGAGAGTTGCTCGAATGAAGAAGATGGGCTGAAAATGGGTCTCTTATTATTAGTTTGGGCCAACAACTTAGCAACTCTTAGGTACTCTTGGGCTAGATATTGGGCTAAGTCGTTAACTTCAATTTGGGCCAAGAAGATTTACTCAAAATAAAATGGGCCACTCAACTTAAGGGAAAATGGGCTGGATATAAAAATTGAAATCGATTTCGCTAGTATTATTCTCAATAAGGGCCGAAAAATATACATTCGAAACTGAGCCGAAAATATTCTCGATAAATTGGGCCGATAGAATAACGCAGTAACAAGGACTTCCAATCGATACGATTAACCATTTGGCGATGGAAAATAATGAAATAGAGCGACTTATTACATCAATTAGACGAGAACCTCCAATTAAAAATAATAAGACTAACCGAAAATATCGAATAATTACCGGATTAAAATAAAATACGATAATTAAATAATCCAGGAAAATACATAATAATAATATTAGTAAATATATAAATACACATTTAATTAGATAAAAATAGCATTTAGACAATTAGGCATTTAATTACAATTTGATAAATAAATCATATAAGACATTTTAAAATTTTTTAATCAAATGAATAATAAGAACAACAAATAAATAATAATAATTGTAATAATAAATAATCCTCAAAAATTTCATAATCAAACGGGGCATTACAATCTATCCTCCTTAAAACATTTCCGTCCCTAGAAATTCGAAAGAACACACATCTAAAAGGAACGCCAGACTCGAAAGGGAATTTCCAATCACGAGGTCCGTTATCACTCTCTGAAACTCGATTATGTTCTCATGAGTCCTATCGCCTTCTACTCGAAAGGCATGGCATATACTCACATACAGGAACCAATCCGACTCGCCCTATGCTCATATGTTTACCTTCTTGCTTGGGAGGGTGATCAGTCCTTCCAGAGCTCAGGCGTACATCTTCTTGCAAGGGACCCAGTTCGGTTTAGCCTATACTTGTAACGCCCCACTTTACTTTAAAGAATTTATCGAATTTATTTAATAAAAATCACAATAAATTTTTCGCAAACTTTAATTTAATTAAAAACTCAGTGGGCGCTACTCAAATTTACCAAAAGCCTTTATCCGAAAAAGCAACCACCTTAAAACGAAAGATAGCATGCTCGAATATTAAATCATAAACCTCACTAGCATCCATTAAGTTCCAAATCATAAAATACAATTCATAATTCTCATATTCAAAACGACATAATCAATATCCAAATTTTCAACATGAGTTCATAAACTAAGCGGAAACAAAATTAAATAAGCAATAATAAATGACATAACCACCACCCGTCTTGTCTCGTCACCCGCCAACTGCTTAACCTGCATCAGTTACGAGCAGGTGGGAGTGAGTACAGTTAACTATCGTACTCACACTATGCATATGAATAACATAATAATGGTATGGTCGCAGCATGAACATAAACAATAAAATCATGTCACATCTCTAGCCACATCAATGACTATAGTCTCATCAAAGACTCACTCATGTACATCTATGCTCATCAAAGCTAAGCCATGCCATATCAGTGAAACATGGGAGTGCGTGCCACATCAATGACACGGCCTTCTCATAGGTCTTAATGAGATTTACCTCACTGGGTAACCGTATCTTATCATACGGGGACAACCGTATCGATGGCCATCAAGCTCACATCGATAGGCTACATGTTCATTTTCATACATAGATCACACCAAACTTTCATCACAATTTAAATCACACATATGCATAGATAATTTTAGAATAACCCACCTGGATTCCGGATTGATAATAACTCAAAGCAATTGGAAGTAGGTCGAGGCTGGACTCCTCAATTACCTACATTGAGTCAAGATGCTACAATCAACATCTATCTTGACTTTAAACGAAAAACACAAAACAGACCTAGTCGAACTTGTTTCGACTAAGTAGTTCGTGAAGTCCTGTGGATGTTGGAACACTAAGACTCGACACTAAACTCGACCAAACCACATAAGGGAGCTCACATAAATCCATCTAAGGATTGACCAAGTCAAACTCACAACAGAACGAAAAGCAAGTCAATCACAGATTTAACTTTAAAATCTTAGTTCAGAATTTCTAGCTATTAATCACATGAAATTCATTGACCAGGCTGCCCTACGACTTATGCCTTGAAATTTTACAGAAAATTACATCTTCCAGTAATAAGTAAAACCATAAATTTTCAGCTTTAAACTCAAAGCACATTAATTTATAAAATTCTTACAAGAAATCAGCAAAAACGCACATGAATTCATATCTGAACCAAATGAACGATTCAGGACTTGAAAATTTAACACAACAAGCTACAGCATGATAGGGACAACATGTAAAAATATCAGCCCTGGACATTAAATGTGCTATTTTTAAAAATTCACACAAGATTCAGCAATTATCGAATTTAAATCAAAACAGCACTAAAATGAACTCCAAAAATTTTCATCTTTTAACAGCATGAATATACACCAAATAGAAACATCTCAGCCAAGTTTCAGAATTTTTCATGAACAAACCGATTTATAGTAATTCATAAAGTTTTCAGCAGAAACAGAAATTAAATTATTAACCATATCAAATTTACTCCAAAAATTCTAAAAATTTAACACAGGATATAAACACATCAGAGGCACAACATATCAAAATTTCAGATCATTTGAATCACGAACCAATTTATTAAGCATTAAACACTATTCTGATCAGAATTCACATTAATTATTAAAAATAGCTACAGGCCTCTAAAAATTACGAAATTTTTACACAAGGCTGGAAAAGAACAAATAACATATCCCTCAAAATTTCAAGTCATTCCGAGCAGCGAGCTATTTTTAAAATTTCAAACACCAAAACAGCGACAATCAAGCTCGACAATTTAACGATTAATTAAACACACGAAATTTCTCGTCCGAGGCCTTCCCATAAGGCCAAGGACTCGACTTTGTTCCAATATCCACTGACTTACACGAGTTTCGAGGTCTCGCTCGATTCTTTTAAAAATCGAAGAGATCTCGAACATATATACTTCACATAAAATTTCGATTTCACATCATCTCATCTCATATCGAACACATATTTCGAAATCATAATCACATAACTTATACAAATTCACATATCATCATATAACACATCGATAATTACGTAAAATAAACGGAAAGTCGAGACTCGATACCGTTCTCGGGAAACGAGCGAGAATGGTTCGAACGGCTCGACGGTGAACTTCGTCTCGCGAAGGAAGGGCAGCGGCTCGGAAGAGGGTCGTCGCTGCTGCTGGTCTCGGCCAAACATCGCCCGTCGAGCTGCTGAACGGACGTTGGTTCGTCAGAAAGCTGCGCGTGGAGGCTGCTCGTGATCGGGGACTCGCGATGGCTCGCCGGAATGGCTGGGCTGCAGCGAGGGTCGCGGACAGAGGTGGTCTCGTCGTAGGAAGTTCGCGGGCTTGCTCGTGGGAGGAAACAGGCTCGCCGAAAACCGCAAACAGAGGGGTCGCCGGACTTGCTTCTGTGCGTTGGCCATGATAACGTCGGGACTGATGGTCGCGGACGTCGGAGGAGAGCAGGTCGCCGGATTTGATGGCTGCTGAGCGACGCGGAGGAGCAGCAGGGGTCGTCTGCGCGTGGAAGAGATCAGCGGCGATCGGGAAGGCGGGCCTGATCGCAGCGATGGTGATGGCGACGGATTCAGTTAGCGATAGAGAGAAAAGAAGATTGAGGGCTGCGGCTTTTCTGATTTCTGCGAGAGAAGGAAGGAGAGATCGAGAGATTTTGCCGAGGGAGAAAAAAAGTTTGGCTGCGTCTGTTCGAGAATAACGAGCGAGAGAATGTTTAATAAGACTAGGGTTAACGAGTTTTGCCAATCAAGAAATCTTAATCTCACGCACACACGCACCAAAGGGGAAACCGGGTCGGGGCTGGAGCGTGGTTAGGGCTCGCGGGTTTCTCAATTTATCGGGCCGGTTCACGTGTGGGTTCGAGATAATGATTCAGCTCACGGGCTCGATTTAATCGCGTGATAAAATAAAATAACAACTGGGTAATATATATTTAATACATACATTATTTATAATAATAATACACATTAAACATTTATTTCACAATTAGGCATTTAAATAAAATAATAATAACAATAATAAAAATAATAATAATAATGACAATAATATTAATAACAAACAATAGGTAATAATAATATTAATAAATAATAATAAATAATCCTAAAATTATCCATAAATAAACGGGGCGCTACAATACTCATGAGTATCAACGACTTGCAACAGTACACAAGACCTCAACAGGTCGTTCGGTGTATTGTCATCGTACTCCGACTACCTCACTATCAAGGTGGACACGTGACGCCAAGTTCAGTCTCGTATCCGAGTCACACTGACAACTTGCTCACGATTTCATCTCGGCCGTGTGTCTCTCTCAGGGACAACGACACGGTACCACATACATGAAGCACGACACCATTAAGCTCACACTCTCATGATATCGACTCCATGAGTCAAACGCAACCCTTATGCACAAACATAAGGCTTGACCCAAAGCAACACAACATTCCCAATTTGCCGACTCGAAAAACTCCCGAGTAAAGCATAGGGACTCATCGGCTACACTCCTTAATCAGAAATCATCGATTAAGGATTTATACACATTTTAGTGGAACTTGGGGCTCTCGGTTCAAGGTTCGGGATAACATAAATAGCTCAGCAAAAATTGGTCGATCAACGAAATGAATCGAAGGTTCGGGGTTAGTGTACAGTCACCCAAGAGGTGGCACGCTCGCTAGCGCTGCATAAGCGGGACGCTGGGACGCGTGCGTACTCACCTACTCGGAGACTAGTTGTAAGGTTGAGGCTTGGCCGCACACGCTGGCCTGGGGAGTTTGTGCGTTCGGTGATGGCGGCTGCAGTTCGCGTGCGAGTCGACGGTCGGCCGCGCGCAAGCCTTACGTCTCTCAGCACGGTCGTGCGTGCTCGGCCACCACTTCGCGTGGCTTCACCCAGCCAGGGTCGGGGTTTGGTCCAGGTTTCCACAAGAATTCCAATTCAAGGCTACCAAAAAGAAATGGTTTTACCAAACTTTGAAAATTTCGGGATCAACAAAACAAGTTATGCATCATGCATTTCACAAATTTCAAAGTTTCAAAAGGTCTCAAAAATAGCAGGGTATAAGTTCGAGTTCCAAGTCCACCAACTTTCTAAAACAACAAAACGCAATACACCACAGATCTAATGATATGCGAAATCTCAAAAGGGCTCTCATGGCGATTCTCTCTAAGTCAGCGGCTTCTGCCGAGCCATTAAATAGATAGCTCGTCTAGGCTCTTCCGACTAACAGCGTCGGCCGACACGTCAGCTCTTCCTCGGGTAGCTAATCGTGTCAGTAGTCCTAAATGAGCGCAACTCACTTTCCACTCTTCACACTTTGGAATTTGAACGCAAAGTTCCTCCCGGAATTCCGAAAGGAGTAGAAGAACAAAAATTTCCACGATGAACAAGATTTGGAATAAGGACGGGTATGCACTACGCGATGTGCTTGTTTCTGACTCGTCTATCCTCCTTAAAAGGTTTCTGCATAATCTTTTAAGGTGGAAAAACACTCCATCTTCTTATCAAATTGAATTGTGCTGGCTTCAGCTCCTGCGCGTTTATCTCGATGCCGAGTGTGAATATTGTCCCCCTCGAGGTTAGGTTATTCACAAAAGTGGCGATAGAAAAATTTTGCCCTCGAGTCCTTGTGATATTTTAGAGATGGAATTCGAACGAGACTCTCATACTTCGCAAGAGAATAAAGATAAGCAGAAACAAAGAGATGCTTAATCTCACCTGAAATCAGGTTTTTTTTTTTGTTTTTTTTTTTTTCAGGACAAAGTCAATTCCCAACATAAGATAAACCCGAATTAGCTAAACTTCAAGAGAAGTGAAATTTTAAAGTTGGGAAGCTTAAAATAGTTTACACAGCGAATCAAAAGTAGGGAAAGGTCAAGCAAAATTTCAAACAACAACAACAACAACCTAGCCTTTAGTCCCAAGCAGGTCGGGGTAGGCTAGAGATGAAACCCAAAAAAAAAATTGGATAACAAAAGAAGTCTCAAGAACAATTCAAGATTGTTTGTCATGCGAAAGGGGAATAAACAAAGGTTGCAAAAGTCTACAAGAAATCAGAAATTCAAGAATGAAACATGGCTGCTTCGCCTTCACGAGTCCACGACTCACTGCCTCCACTATCGGTTCAAGCTGTCCCTAGTAAGTCCTGCTGTCGCTAGGAAAACGCTCACGGCACAAAATACGGAAAAGAGTTTTTGACGCCTCCTTCAAGACAGGAATGTCACTCAAAATTGCGGAATAAAATATACACGCGGTACCAGTTCGGTCTATCCGCCTTAAGAACAAGGTCGGATTCCTTCGCAGAGAGAATTTCGTAAAAGAATATGTCACTATTGTCTTTCTCGAGGCCTAGCCACTCTTGAGAGTCGCAATGGTGTTACGCATTAAGTTTCCCCAACACTCCTCGGGGTCGGACATTAAGTATGCACAAGGCACCCAGACTCTACTCCAGCTCGCACTCGACTGGAGGGGTCAAATACACATCCGATGGTCCTAATAACCAAGGTTACAGACCTCCGAATATCCCACACTTGGGACTTCTTCGGTTGTCTGTTCCCTTCGTTTAAGCCTTCTCCTTTCGAGATAGCTCGCGACTGGTCCTCTTCCGAAGACACCAAAATACATCGAGAGAACTGTTATACACACAACTCAGATTGATAACATCATGTCGAATTTCTAAAAAACAGTACCTCAAGTTAGAACTTAACTCTATATCGCTAGAGTTCAAGTTCATACAATTAAGGTTCGGCACTCATCTAGAGTTCCAGAACGTTTAAAAGTAGGAGGATAAGTTCCTAGGCCCCAGTTTACATCTCATTATATTATCTCATAAATCAGGTAACCCATAATCGATTCAAAATTTCATATGAAACTCATACCTGAGTTGGCGAGGCACGACGGAAGCGAGTGGTCATAACTTACATCACATATTTTCACAGAGTTCACATAATTCAAGTATACCAGTCTACAGAAACGCAGACTGGCTCTGATACCAAATTGTAACGCCCAACTTTTATTTGCCGAAAATCAGAATAAATTTATCAGATTTATTTCAATTAACACTTGAGGCGTTACTCATTTTCAAACGGTTTATCAATACTTAACCAAATTTTCAATACTCAATCATTCACCAATACTTAAACAATCATCAATACTCAATTATCAATACTAGAATTCGCAATCCACTAATCAAATCATCCTAGGGAGTACACTCCCTATCAATAATCCAGTAATCAATAATAAAGAAAGCAGTAATAGCAATATTCAGTTCTAGGCGGAAGCAATATCAATTATTATGACCACCACTCGCATCCCTCCCGTCGTGCCCGCAACACTAACCTTCATCCATGAAGAGCAGGTGGGGGTGAGCACAATAGGAAAATCGAGGTGCTCACCGCTATGCAATAATTAATATTCAATAATCAATAAACAATTTAGGTATGGTCGCAGCATGTATACGAATCAATCATCGTCCCATCTCCTATCAATAATCAATCATGAGTCTCATGTGCACACCTATAGCAATAGACTACTGCCGAACTATATACCGAACGCCTTATCTAAGGTCTTACAACGAGTGTCCGGCCAGCAGGAGCAATAATCCACCCCGAACGCCAAAACTTGCGCCTTGGCTAACATACGAGGATCACCAGCCAAGGCTCACGCCCTGACTGCCAACAATAATAAAGGAGACTACCCGAAGGTACGTTCTATAGCTACGGGGATAACCGTTCGACGGCCGGTACAGCTCACATCAAAGGCTACATGTCCATATGCATACATTGATCATACCACAACAATAACAATTAATTAAGACATAGCAATTTCAAATAAAACCCACCTGGTGTTCGGAAATATCAAATGCAAATGCTCACGATAGGCTCGAGGGCTCGACTCCTCGGAAACCAAAAAAATTTGGAATTTTAATTATTATTATTGGTTTTTATTTGGTTGGTTAGGCCACACAAGCAAGGCAAACATATCAAATTAAGCACATAAAACAAGCAATGACTTAAATAATTTCTACTAACTTTCTGAAATAAATTCCTTTTAACCACGGAAATTAATATGGCCACGGGCACGCAAACCTCAACCAAAACAAAGTCACCATTAAAAGTCTTCTCCTCTTCTTAGACTTTTAATTAACTTCTTAAGCATGCTTATCATATAAAATAAGCTCAACAACTGAGCAAGATCACACGGCCAAATAGCAACATATATTCATACATACATGCTTTCATTTCCAACTTCTATCAACACCTGAGCATGCCCTTTTTAAACCACTCAAGGCTGGGAGTTATAAGCCAAAAACTCAGCATAACAACAATATACTCAGGCATAAAATTGTACTTGATAACATTCCCCATAACTCTCAAATAAACAAAGTATAAATTGCACCAAAACATGTTTCTTTTGGCTCAACCAGCATGCACAAAATAAACCAGTAACAACAACTCAACTATTATGCATCCATTTTGCTCTACAAAACTCTAACCAAAATTAGTACGACAAAAAGGCTTTTAAGCTGAATGAACAACCTCTTCTAACACCTAAAAATCCACATATACTCAGCTTATAGCATATGATTGAGACAACAGCCTCCAAACATAAATAAACAGGGTAAAGTATCATATAGTCCAAAACATGCTAGCTCATGAATAATAATAACAAATAAAAACATAAACATCACAGTAAGGCTCATCATAAACAACATAGAACCAGGCCAAAACAAGAAAGTCATTAAGTCCTCAGCATATAACCAACAGCAACAATGCCTCAGCAAATTTCAAACACGCAAGGCAACAAAATCACTCGACATAGGCATAATGTTTACACCGAAAATCAAGAACAAATAAACCACAACATCTTAGCCATATACAGGGTAAAAAGGGGTCAGCCATAATACCTACTGAAAAGAGGGCTCGATTCGCTCGACGGACATCCCCTGGAGCCGGTCGACAAGCCCCGGGCTGCTGCCCGGTAACCGGACGTGGGAAAACAGGCTGTTCGGGGCTCTCGGCAAAGGATCGACCCGCTTCTGTTCTCGCCCGGGACCCAAAAGGGCTGATGCTGCTCTGAATTGAAACCGACGGTTGCTGGATAAGAGCCTCGAGCGGCTGCTGCTCGTTGCCGGAAAAAGCTCGGGTCTACACGGCTATGGCGAACGGCTGGATGCACTCATTCGCCGGCAGGGCTGCTCGAATCGTCGCTAAGGGTCAGCCTTCGACAGTCGCGCTTGGTCTCTTCAGCTGTCGGGAACTGAAGCTCTTCGCCGGCGTTTTCCCGCTTTCGATTGCAAGATCTCTGACGCCTGGAACTCGCCGGACTGGTGCTGCTCTCGCCGGGAATCCCGTCGCTGAGGCTTGGTTCTCTTGCCGTTGGATGGCCGGAGGTCAGAGTTTGAAGGGATCGAGGCTCAGTCGGGCTAGAGGTCGGAGGTTGGATCACGGCTCGACGTCGGGAATAGACCCGCCGCTGCTGCTCGTTCTCGGTTCACCTACCTCGCGTCGTCGGGAATCTCGTCGTTGGGCCGATTCGGCTGCTCTCGTTGGGAAATTGGACTCAGGTCGCGAAGGAGCTCGAGAATCGCGGCTCGAGATAGAAGCTAGTTGTCCGTCTAGAGATTGGAGGTCGGAGCTCAAAGGTCTCGGAGGTCGTCGGCGCGCACAGATTCCTCGTAGCCAGAAATGGCTGGCTCTCGAATTCGCTGGGCGATTTGTGAAATTCGGAGGGGAATTCAAGGGGCTCAAAAATGGGAGATGCGGCTGATGCTCTCAATCCCTTAAATAGGGAGTATTAGGGCAAATCTGATCAGAAACAGTGTGGCCGGAATTTGGGGAAAGGCCGAGGATTATGGACGCCATTGCACGAGAGCTGCGACCGGTTCTTGGGAGGAGAGAGAGTTGCTCGAATGAAGAAGATGGGCTGAAAATGGGTCTCTTATTATTAGTTTGGGCCAACAACTTAGCAACTCTTAGGTACTCTTGGGCTAGATATTGGGCTAAGTCGTTAACTTCAATTTGGGCCAAAAAGATTTATTCAAAATAAAGTGGGCCACTCAACTTAAGGGAAAATGGGCTGGATATAAAAATTGAAATCGATTTCGCTAGTATTATTCTCAATAAGGGCCGAAAAATAAATATTCGAAAATGAGCCGAAAATATTCTCGATAAATTGGGCTGATAGAATAACGCGGTAACAAGGACTTCCAATCGATACGATTAACCATTTGGCGATGGAAAATATTGAAATAGAGTGAGTTATTACATCAATTAGACGAGAACCTCCAATTAAAAATAATAAGACTAACCGAAAATATCGAATAATTACCGGATTAAAATAAAATACGATAATTAAATAATCCAGGAAAATACATAATAATAATATTAGTAAAAATAAAAATACACATTTAATTAGATGAAAATAGCATTAGACAATTAGGCATTTAATTACAATTTGACAAATAAATCATATAAGACATTTAAAAATTTTTAATCAAATAAATAATAAGAACAACAAATAAATAATAATAATAGTAATAATAAATAATCCTCAAAAATTCCACCCGAAAACTTATCTCGGGCATTCGCGTTGTAATCCCCACCTCCTCTCTCTTCCGCTTCATTGCCTGAACATGCCCTCTCCTCGCATTATTCGAGTCCCCATCAGTTGGTCCTCCGGAAATCATGTATATCTTCCCCTTTATTATAAGGCCCAAGTCTTCTTGGCCTCCTCGATCTCTGCTTCCCCTTCTCCTCTTGCCTCCATTATCCCTTCTACCACCTCGCTCCTCTCGAGCATCATCTTCCTCATCATCATCCCTATCACTCCTCTCCACTGAATCCTCCCGACACCTTATTTTCTCCTTCCCCTTCACTTTATCCTGATAAACAAACTCCTTGAGATGCCCTGCCCGAATAAGGCGCTCGATTTCATCCTTGAGGTGCCTGCAATCCTCCGTCATATGACCATAATCCTTGTAAAAATGGCAATATCTTCTCGATTTAGGCTGTGTCAGCCCCTCAAACCTCGACCTAGGCCACGTCACATCTTTGTCATGTATCTTCTTCTCAATGGCCACTAATACTTCCCCCATTTTTGCATTTAACGGTGTAAAAGTATGGAATCTTTTTCCCCTTGAAATAGGTTGGTCTTGCCACCTATCCTCACGCCCTCATTCCATTCTACCATGCGCCTCTCTCCTGGGCGATCCTCTCCTTGGTGACTGTAATAGCCCAGTTCTATATTAATAAAAGTGACAGTTTTTTAGTTCCAAATTTGAACTATTTCATTTTATTAATATTGCTCGTTTTCAGTTCCGAGCCCAGTTATTCAGCTATTCATCTCAGTTATTAATTTCGATCCGTTTATTTTTAGAAATGGATTTTATTCAGTCGGAATTAATTATTCCAGTTGACGAATAATCGAGACCGAGTATGTTTCGATAAATCGTCTAAGTCTAGCCGTGTCCGAAATCGAGTCATCGGTCATGAGTATCGCGCCTAGCCAATTCTCGAGCCCTACTAGTCACGAGTCTTGTTCGAGCCCTAGTCGTGCTCTTAGCCTTACTTAGAATATTTTCTAAGTATGAGATCATTTTATCGACCCTTCGATATCATTCCCTCAGCCTAAGTAACCCCGCACCGAGCTCGTGCAAGGGATCGAGTCCTCGCGCCCCAGTGCCGCACGCCTCGCTAAAGTGCCCAAGCCATGGTCGAGTGTTAATGAAAATTTTTCTAAGTATAGGGGCTCATGTATTCAGCGTATACCCGAGCAAGTCCCTCTCAGTCCAAGTCCCTAGAGCCGAGCCCAAGCAATGCGCATACTAGTCCTCGCGCGAGTCATGCTAAGGTTTAAGGCATGACCAATTTTCATGGATTTTTTTAAGTATTTTAGGCCTTCAGTTCAGCCATAATTTAGCCCCTGAGGTGTGCTATTTTCGGCCCAAGAGTTGGCATTATTCCAGCCCGTGCGCAAGGACCCCGAGCACAGCAATGCCGCGTCCAAGCCTAGCGCCTAGCCCACGTGCGGTTGCTTTTTCAAGCTCAATGCATGGAAGTCTTGGCCCAAATCCTATGGCCCTATATCATGCGAATAATCAGGGGATTAAGGGGGATTAATTCAGCTTAAGAGTGCTCTAATATGGCTTAAGGGAAGTCAAAGTCACTAACAATTATTTTAATATTGAGTGGAGTTGGTCATGCACATATAATATTATGTTGTAGAAGGTTTTGTCCCCTCATGTGCTGCAGCCCGACTAGACCTGCTCCCTTCAGCCATATGCTCTGCAAGATTCTCCAAATTTCCATGCAAGTCAGGGTGTGGAACTCCAAGACCATGCCAAGAGATGCCATGCGCATAGGATGAAGGAAGCCACTAGCAGTTGTCTCCACTTCTTGTTTTGTTCTCTCTGCCCATATGCTCTTTAAAAGGGCTCTCATCAGCAGCATTTCAGCTCTTAGATACTTAGAGAATTTGAGCATTTCACCTTTCCATAATAGAGAGCAAAACAGAAGGCATTGTGCTAGCAAGGCCACACGCGCGCGAGAGGGAAGAAGGGAGAGGTTCGCCGAGCCTTACACTTCTCCAGCCATTCCACTCGTGTTCTATCATTACCTGAGTGTTTGGTGGATTTTTGTAAGCCCTTGGAAGCCCTCAATCGCAGCCTTAAGCCACCAAGTCGAGGCCTAACACCAATTAGCCGCGAGAAGCCGAGCAAGACCACCCTTAGCACCACTTCGGGTTTGAGCAAGGTAAGCTCATACCTATCAATTTTCCTAGATTATACATGATAAAATAGGAATTATCATGTAAGAATATGATGCCATGCACGTGATAAATGTTGAGTTCCAAATTTTCAAAGTTCCAAGCCCTAATTTCGGAAATTTTTATGCATGCATGAGTTGGTCGATTTTCATAGCTTAAAAATCCTCAAAAATCATGAGAATGACATTGTTAAAAGATTAGCATGCTTTGAGTTCATATGTTGGGTCAAGTTGGTTAGTGAATTTGAGCTATTTTCACCCCCGAACCAAGTCTATGTGCATGCAAGTATTTAGCCAATGTCCTAGCCTCAATATCAATGAATTTTGATGTCGATAACTCGGCCCTAAGTGAATTTATATGTTTAGCATGTTCATTTCGGTGACCTAGTGTGGCCACGAGCCTTGTCGGCCCTATAAGCCCACCTCTTTATCCAACCGAGGTCTTTCAGTGACTTATGACATTTTTATGTGTATTATGTCATAATTTGTTGGGTTAGTTCAGCAGTCACCGGAAATAGTGGCCGGAAGACCGGCAAGGACCGGCTAGGGTCACCAGCCGCGCCAGTCGCGCGTGCCGTGCCCGTGCCGCGTCGCAGAGGCCAGACAGTGCCTCTGTGCGTGCCCGTGTCTAGCGCACGCGAGGCACCACAGCCCTCAGCGCACGCGACAGCGCCCTAGCAGCGTGATGAGAGATCGTGTATCCGCTCAACTCTATTTGCTCGAAACCCCGCCGACGCCTTAGTTCCTTCGCGATAGGTTGCTAATACGCGCCCCGACACCTTCGTACTTCGCGATAGGTGTGAAGAAAATCGGATGTTGGTCCTATTTCAAGCACGATTTTGTATGTAAATCACACACGAGATTTGGTGATCGAAACGATCGATTTTTCTTATTACTTGGATGATAAAAATTGAATGACAATGGGTAGTATTTATAGAGACTAAATAGATCTAATTCTACTCCAACTAGAATTCTAAATTATGAAAGTGAATAAACTCCTAAGGAAACTAAATATCTAATAACCTAATCTAAACCTAAGTCCTAACATGCTAAGGAAAGCTAATAAAATATGTGGGAAAGTATCAAGAATAATCTAGAGAAGATTCAGCTCAAAAAGATCTCTAGAAGCCTTAGTTCCTTGCTCGGCAAGTCACCCGCGCGAGCTGTCCCTGGCAGCCCTGCGCCCGTGCCGTCTGTGCATGGCCCCGCGCGCCACTGTGCACCTGCGCACTGTCTGCGCGTGATGCTGATGTGGTCATTGACCCTGGCGAGCCCGAGGACGATGTCCATGATGGCCTCGAGAGATGGCGAGAGGCTAGGAGGGAAAGGGCTCGAGGACGTGCTAGGAGGGTGTGCGCACGCACTAGGGCACGCATACCGACGGGTCGCGGTGACCGAGCCGCGAGGCGTGCGAGTCTGGGCCGAGTGAAGAAGAGGTGCGCGACGAGTAGTGCGCACGAGCATGAGGCTTGGGCCGACGACGAGAGTGAGAACGTAGTGCCCGGGAAGATGGGCGATTGGTGCAAGGCGTGCGCGAAGGATAGACGTGCACGACTAATGCGGGCCAAGGCCAATGGTGCACGAGGGGAGGATGTAGGGTGGACAGCGTGCACTTGAGACGGGTGCGATGGTACGGACACGCGAGAAGACTGGGGTGTCGCGATGGGCCCGAGGAGCGGGTGCGAGATGGGCGCGGTGACGGGAGACACGTGCGAGGCGCTGGTCGAGTGGGACGATGAGGTTGGCGACACGAGCGTGCGCGAGAACCGCGCAAGTGGCGAGAACGGGCAAGGCGCGAGGAGCAAGCGAGAGAGGGGCGCCGAGCGATCAGGCGTGCGCGACACTCGCGCGAGGGGCGAACACGCGAAGACGCGACGCGGGAAGAGCGCGCGCGTGCGGCAGGGACGCGAGCTATGCCTTGCGCGACCAGGACTAGCGGGCGGTGCGAATGTACGGACGTGGTTTGGCGCGCGACGACTTGACGGGCAAGCAAAGGGGATTTGGGAT